TTGGGATGATGGGGCCTGGGGCTCTACATGGTGGCTCCTCCAAAACAGCTCACTACAGGGAACCCAGACCCTCAGGTAATTTTGGAAACAGAAGGAAAACCAGTCGATTTCCTTCTTGATACTGGAGCCACCCTTTCTGTTCTACTCTCTGTCCCGGGCCAACTGTTCAATAGCAGTGTTGTCATTAAGGGTGGCACCGGGCAACCCATAAGCCAAATTTTTTTCTCACCTTCTGGGATGCACCTAGGGAGATCTAATATCCTTTCACTCTTAATGCCTGAGAGCCCCACACTTCTCTTAGGTAGAGCTATTAACTCTCATATTGATAGACCCTGGGCAAATTAGCAATTGCCTCCCCTAAATAGAGGTTGATATTAATTCCTAGGTCTGGGCAACTCAGGCTGAAATGGGTTGGGCCTTAACAGCAGTGCCTGTTCCCATACAACTTAAGGACTCCACAACTTTCCCTTGTCGGAAAGGTTTTTTGGGCATAACAAGGCCACTGTTGCTTGTGGATACCAGGACATGGAGAAAAAGCATGCTCCCTCTAAATTTGAAGCCTGGATCTACCATTCCAAGGTCAAACCCTGGTCCCCAACGGGACCTAACAACAAGGAAATGAAATCCCTCTGTGAACCCAAAGAAGACCTCAAACTAGTCTTGAAGTGACCGGACACAGATAAGTCTTCTTAAATGTTACTTTCCCTATATCCCATCAAAATCATAATCCTTATTGCATTCCCTTCGCCTGCCCTCTCCTCACAGTATATGGGGAGTTCACTAAAACAGCCTCTATCTCTCGCCTGACCCCAGCTGTACTCGGTCTTGCACTGTGCTTTGGGCCTTGCCTCCTAAATGCCCTAACCTGCTTTATATCTTCCAGAACAAAGGTCATCAAACTCCAAATGGTGGTTCAGATGGAGCCTCGCATGGAGGTCAAACCAGACATCTACAGGGGACCCCCTAATAGATCAGGATGAGAGGAACCCTGACTGCTGTCCCATCCAATGCCCCTGACCAGCAGGAAGTAGCTACAATCAGTCATCACCCTTCTTCCCTAACAGCAGTTAGCGTTACCTCTTCAGAGGGGAGAGTGATGAAGAATAGTTGGGAGGCAGACAACCCCCGCCCTAAGAGGAAACCACCCTTAAAGGGATTTTATACCACCGGGGAAGGAGCCCTCCACCCTTTCTTTCCCACGTAATAGGTAGATGACAAAAATGTGATTGGGTGACAGGCCAAGGAGGGTTAATCTGATTAAAACAGCCCTCCAACAAGCCATAAAAACTGCTAGACTTAGAAATTCCAATGGCAACCCTCTCAGGTCCCCTCCCTCCTCGGGAGCTTTGTACTATCACTTTGCCATCGCTCAATAAACTTTGCTTTGCTGCCCACCACCACCACCAACAAAAAAATATTGCGAAGTGGAAGTATGTGTATTTACCATGCATTACTGGGTACTTGCGGTACATAATCTATTAGAATCTATAAACACAAAGATTTAGAATAAGCCAGATCCTCAATTCAGCCAACTATTCTTCATATAGTATGATTTCAAATTTCCTCACGATTTTCTCATTTTTTGGTGCTCAGAATCAAACAAAATAAAAATACTCCAGATATAGCCTCATCATAACCTGAAACTGAGCAGGGCTATCACCTTCCTCATTCTGGAGTCATGCTGCAGAATCCATGACATTAGCTTTTCTGGCACCCATATTATACTGTTGATTCATATGGAGTTTATCATCAATGAAAACTGCCTTTTATCACCTCCCCCTTGTATCGCTGATTTTTCTGCACCCAAGCACAGAACTGTGGCTCTTTTGGTAAAAGATGATTCACCATTCCAGCCATTAGGATTGATTTGGATTGACTCAAACTATCAATTCCATAAACTCCTCCCAGAGTTGGGTTGTTCACAAGTTTTATCAGCACCTTGAAGTTGTTAAATTGTTGAAAAGAACAAGTTGGGGTAGCACTACATGACACATTAGACCTCTCTTCAGCCTCCCCTTGATTCTTTCAGCAGTAAACCAGTTTTGAGTTCACCTAATTGGACTCCATCAGTCCATCTTCATCTTGCCCACAGAGAAGTGGTACGTGGCACAGTTGTTAGGGAGGCAGACTTTGAGCCACATTGCCTGGGTTCAAGTTTCAGGTCTGCCATTTACTAGCTCAAGTTCCTTAACCTCTTTGTCCCAGTTTCCACATCTGTAAAATGGCAATAGTTGTACCTAATTCATTGGTTATGAGGATTAAATTAGTTAACACTTACAACTGCCTGGTATACAGTAATTTTGCTGTAATAATAAAGACAGAGAGAGATGATTACATACTTTTAGGTACCTCCTATCACTACCCTCCTGATGCTGTCTAGTCCAGTATCATTATCCAAAAGGGAATGAACCTAGCTTGATATATCCTACTTTTTTCTGAAAGTATACTGTAGCCTAGTGGTCACTGGTTCCTTTTAAATATGCTCAATAACCAATGAAAAGTAAAAATTTTGTTTAGGATCAAAGTCAATAAATTAGAGGACAGACTCCACCTTTGGAAGAAATAGGAACCCATGCGTTTATTTTCAGGCTTTGGGCCCCTCTCCTGTTGTCTACAAGTCTTAAAGATTGGCTGAAATCTTGCCTCTCATTTGAAATATAACTTATCCAGGCCAGGAAATATGATTTCTCTTAGAGCACTGAAAGTTCTCTTAAATGCCCTCATTTATCTTGTCTCTTAAAGACATTCATTCTGGGGCGCCTGGGTGGCTCAGTCGTTAAGCATCTGCCTTCAGCTCAGGTCACGATCCTGGGGTCCTGGGATCAAGCCCCACATCTGGCTCCCTGCTCTCAGCGGGAAGTCTGCTTCTCCCTCTCCCACTCTCCCTGCTTGTGTTCCCTCTCTCGCTGTGTCTCTCTCTTTCAAATAAATAAATAAAATCTTAAAAAAAAAAAAAGATATTCATTCTGCCATTTCCAGTCTACATTTTATCTTTGAGATTAAAAAAATCAAAATCAGGGCGCCTGGGTGGCTCAGTTGGTTAAGCGACTGCCTTTGGCTCAGGTCATGATCCTGGAGTCCCGAGATCAAGTCCCACATCGGGCTCCCTGCTCGGCGGGGGGTCTGCTTCTCCCTCTGACCCCCCTCTTTCATGTGCTCTCTCTCTCTCTCTCTCTCATTCTTTCTCTCAAATAAATAAAATCTTAAAAAAAAAAAATCAAAATCAGAACCAAGTGTTTGTTTTCTGTAATCTACTAATATGCCACTGGACTAGGCAGAAAACCCAGACCTTTCTTGCCCTTGCTGTCAATACCTAACTAAAACAGTTATTGATCTCTTTAACATTTCTAGAATGATGTCATTTGAGGGTTAGTCTTTTCAGTGTGTATTTTCAGTGGCCCGTATCACACTTTTCCAGTCATTTTTGATTTGACATCCTACTTTCCATTTTTGGTAAATGTCTTTCTCATGCTGGAGATCATTAGAAACATAGTCTCCTTCCTTTTTTCCTCTCTGGTTAGCCTTTAAATATTTGTTATGATACTACAATTATCTTTTTTTTAAGAGTCCATATTAATGGAACTTCTTTCTTAGAATTTTTTGAAATTACTCTCCAAAATAGAAAGTAAATTCATTATACTCAGCATTCCATTCTACTCCTTGATTAGCGTAAGTCAAGACTGACAGAAACCCAATTTCTCAGGATTATCTGGGGCCTCAGTCATTTCAGAATCCCCAAGGATAAAGCCCGTACACTACTAACACAAAATTCTATTTCCTGAGGTTAAAACTTTGTGAGTCAAAATTAAAAATGGTCTATAACCCTGTGGATGAAGTTAAAACAATATAAGTCAATTTTGGAGTAAACTTTGTACCAGAGACCTAAGACTTTGCTGTGAGACACTGAGCAAGGTCTTCTAATGTGTAATTCTTTTGATGGTAGTTTTCACCAAGGTTTCAATTTTGATCTGAAGTAAGATCACAGAGGTAGAAGCAAGTTCCACAAGTTCTTCTGGGAAGGAAGTGCAGTACTTTATGTGTGGATGTGACCAGCAAAGGCAGGATAAAGCCCACACTTTATTACATATACCTTTCCTAAACTCTAAAGATGATTTTGGTGATCTAAGCCCTTCTACATAACACAGATTCACAGCCTGTCAGAATCGGATTCCAGAGATGCCCTATTTTACAGACACGAACAGACCCAGAGAAGCCAAGTGTCTTGCCTAAGTTCAAGACCCATGAGCCACGGAGAGTCAGGAAAATTCTTCACTAGGTCAAAAAGAATTTTATTCCAATATAAGTCATCACTTTTTTCTTTTTAAAGACCCTAGTTTTTTTCATTTAGTTTTCTGCCAGGAGTTCAAATCGCGAAATCTCTGCTCTTGCCAAATGTTCTCTCCACGTATCTAACTCTCCCCAAAGGTCATATTGAAAGTAGATTCTTAAGTCCGTCCTAAGATCACCAGAAAGCACTGATGACTTCTCGGGAGTATTTAGTCACAGTCCAGAATTCAAGAGCTCCAGTACGGCAGTGTTCTCTACCTTGCGGCCCCTCACGCTGCTTTTAGTAAACCTATGGGAGGAAGAAGCCACAATAAATCTCTAACTTTTAAAATAAAACTCCAGGAGTGATACGTGTGATACTCCATCTTTACAGCTCTTCGCATAATAAGGGAGGGTGGAGGGAATTGCAGCCAACAATGGCAACTGAAAAGAAATGTGATCTGCAGACTGCTGGCTGCTGACTAACGCACTTAAAGCCGGCTGGATGCCGGGAAGGCCGGAAGAAGCGCCCCAGCGCTGGAGGCGCGGCTTCCGAGCTACCCGGGTGAGCACTGGCCCGGCCCGACCGGCGGTGCGCACGCGCGGCCCCGGCCTTTGTACTCGGGCCGCGGCATTTAAAGACCCCTGCGTGCGTGCGCGCGCCCGCCGGCTAACCCCGCCGCGAGGGGCGCGAGGGGCGCGGGGGGAGGGGCGGCGCTCCGCCCCGGTCTTACCTGCCCGCGTTCTCCGCTTCCATTCCCCGCTGCCGCTCTTGCTGGCAGCTGTGCCTGCCGGCCAAGCAAATGACTGGTCTCCGTAGTAGCGCGGCGTACCAACGGCTGTACGACAATAACCAGGGACTGGACACGATTACCGGCAGAACTGGGACAGCGGATAGCGCTCAAGCTCCTCCCCCGAGCTTCTAGCTACCGCCCCCCCCCCCCCCCCCCCCCCCCCCCTTCGCGGGGCGCTTCCGTCAGCTCGAAGCCAAATCCCACGCCCTGTGGTCGTCACGTGATACAGGCAGCCCAATCATGTTCGCTTCCCTCTCGTTGGTTCTGCTCGCTGCTTGGCCTTTCGGGAAGGGTGAAGGACAAAAAGGGTGGATGGAGGCGCGCTCTGATGACGTAGGCTTTTGTCCGTCACGACTCTTCGATAGTGGGCGGATCGGAAGCTGAGAAGGTGAAGTCCATTGGGGGCGCTGTGTGGGTGGGACGGTTATGCTTATGAGGATTATCCAGGCCAGTCCACCTCAATTGTATCCCGATTAAGAACAGTGTTTTGCGTTGATTATCGGGTATCAATTATCAAGTGTGATTTTGGGCAAATAAGAGACTTTGGAGTCGGAAAACCTGGAAGTTGAGGTCACTGTGTTATCTTGGGCCTCAGTATCCTCATCTGTAAAATGAGGGTGACTGAAAATGCTTTGTAAAATGTAAAGCATTACATGAACCCCTGTCTGCTTTAGTTTATGTAAACATATTAACGTTTCAAGTGTATGATAGATGCCATTTAAGCACCATGTCTCCCTTATTACCTTACAGACTAGCTGCTCTATTTCTCAATGGCTCTTATATCTTTTTTTTGTTTCATTAGTTTTCAAGTTGTCACTGGTGTTTCAAGTTGTCACAGGGACTTCATTAAATAACTCTTAATGGAGGGGCGCCTGGGTGGCTCTGCCTTTGGTTCAGGTCATGGTTCAGGTCAGGGGAGTCTTCTTCTCCCTCTGTTCCTCCCCCCTGCTTGTGCTCTCTTTCACAAATACATCGTCAAAGATAAATAAATAAATAGATAGTTTTCCCCAGTTAGGCTGTTGTAACAAATGACTCCAAAATCTGGTTACTGGGGCGCTAGGTGCAAGAGCACCTGGCTCCGGGAGTCCCAAAGGGACCAGATTTGGTCACATAGCGCTGACAAAATCCAAAGGCAGGGAGAGGAATGGTGGTGAAACAATTTATTTCAGCGAGGTCGACGCTGGGAAGACAGTAGACTGAGTCTCAAAGACTGTCTCAAAGCGCTGAAAATACTTCTAGGTTTATTTATTTATTTTATTTATTTATTTTTAAAAGATTTTTATTTATTTGACAGAGAGAGAGCGAGAGCAGGAACACAAGCAGGGGGAGTGGGAGAGGGAGAAGCAGGCCCCCCGCCGAGCAGGGAGCCCGATGTGGGACTTGATGCCAGGACCCTGGGATCATGACCTGAGCCGAAGGCAGACGCTTAACGACTGAGCCACCCAGGTGCCCCTTCTAGGTTTAAATAGGGGAAATGTGGAACAAAGGTCTGTGGGTAGGTGCAGGTGGGCAATAAAGGTCAGGTTGATCATTGTCCTTAGCTTAATCATGCAAGGTCTTGCTGGCATCAGGGTAGTCCCTATTGCTTGAGGGGTACTTTCAGTTCCCAAAATGGGATCCATTACCCACTGAGTCTTTAGCTGAGTTAAGAGATAAACTGGAAAGAAAATTTTAGTCAATTAGAAAATACAGACTGTGGTCAAAATGGAGGTAGTTGAAGGGCTCTTTCAATCTCAGTGGTTTACAGCAACCAAGGTTTATTTCTCACTAATGTAACATGGACTGGGAACGAGTATGTCTCTGTGCTTCATGTGTCGTCTTCATTCGGGATCCGGGAAAGGGCTTTCATGAGTAAATATAGAATGATTAATATGTCTTATATCCATTGCTCAAATGAAACTTTAAATATTTTTAAACTTTTCAGAACTTTTATGGATGCTCTGTCCATTAGTAGGTACTACTCAGAACCTGACTCATGCTGGGTGTCCAGTGAATATTTGTTGAATGAATGAATGAACAACAGCCCATTCTCTTGCTCTGTGTCTCTCTCTGGTTTTTCTAACCACTCAGGACCACAGTCCAGAAAAGTTTTTTTTAAGATTTTATTTATTTATTTTAGAGAGCGAGCATGCGTGGAGGGAGGGGCAGAGGGAGGAGAGTGAGAGACTCTCAAGCAGACTCCCACTGTGGAGCCTGACTTGGAGCTCCATCTCAGGACCCTGAGATCATGACCCGAGCAGAAATTAATAGACAGATGCTCAACCAACTGAGCCACCCAGGTGCCCCCAATCCAGAAAAGTTTTAAAGCCGGTGACTTACCTTGGTTATTTCAGAGAGAGAATTCTGGTGACTAAAAATGTGTGTAAAGAGCTGCAGACTTTTCTCAGGATGTTTTCACTCACATGGAGTTACTGTGGGGTGCTATGCATGCTGGGCCTGCCAGCTCCATTCATTACCTGAGCAGACTGGGGGCCTCTGCTCACTTCTGCCTTGCAAAAGGAAGAGTGTACCGGAAGAGGTGCTGGGGAGCAGGACATCAAACCTGGAAACAGTGAAGCGATTGTAGCAAAGAGGCTCCAATCCCATCAGTACCTTCCTCACCCTCTGAAGCTTAATCTGGAAGACAGACTTGTTCTGTTTGTGAGCCTTGCCTTTCAGAGCTTGGGGGAAGCCTAAGAGGAATGTTCTTCTCCTGTCTTTGCCAAATATGTCTCTACTTCAAAGAGACCTACTGTATGATAGGACAAGAACAAAAGGAGGGCAAGTCATTTCACCTTCTTTCCCTCTTCCTCCCAATGCTTCCTCTCCCTTTTAAGAACCTAGTAAGCTTGCTTCCTTCTTAGCTAATGTTCTGTCAGTCAATTGCATCTTATTTTCAACAAGGCTTACTACTGGGTAGGGTTTTTCAAACTGCAGGTTTTCACCCATAAGTGGGTCCTAAATTTTTTTAAAAGACTTTATTTGAGAGAGAGAGGGAGAGAGAGAGAAAGTGAGAGAGAGCATGAGAGGGGAGGGGAGGGTCAGAGGGAGAAGCAGACTCCCCCCTGAACAGGCAGCCCGATGCGGGACTCGATGCTGGGACTCCAGGATCGTGACCTGAGCCAAAGGCTGTTGCTTAACTGACTGAGCCACCTAGGCACCTGGGTCCTGAAATTAGCATTAAGAAGAAATACAACAGGGGGCGCCTGGGTGGCTCAGTTGTTAAGCGTCTGCCTTCGGCTCAGGTCATGTTCCCAGGGTCCTGGGATCAAGCCCCACATCGGGCTCCCTGCTTGGCGGGAAGCCTGCTTCTCCCTCTCCTGTTCCCCCGCTTGTGTTCTGTCTCTCTCTGTCAAATAGAATCTTAAAAAAAAAAAAAATACAACAGAATAAAGTGTCAAAATGTTCATATATGATAAAGGTAAGTATTGTTTTACACATACACAGGTACATGTGTACAGATAGGCTCACAGTCCTAGAAAAGTATTTCTTACTGTGAATCACGATCAAAAAAAGTTTGAAAAGTCATTATAATAGGGCTTATTCCCCCAAGTGAAAAGGAGCAAATGAGGACGGAGACCTGTGGTTCACACACTCTCCTGTATCAACTCAGCCCTTTATTATGGGTCTTTAATACTTAAGCAATATTTTGTAGAATGGGGGAGGGATTTGTGGTGTCGCCTGGGGGGAATAGCTACGTGTTTCAAGCAAATGATTTAGAAAAAATCTGTGTGTCGGGCTTTAACGAACATTCATTTTAGGGGAGGATACAAAATTTTCTAGGTTTCAAAAGAGTTGTCTTAATCTTTTAAAAAATATTTATTTTAGAAAGAGAGCAAGCAGGGGGAGGGACAGAGAGAGACAATCCTTAAGCAGACTCCCCACTGAGTGCAGAGCCCAATGCTGGGCTCGATCCCAGGTCCCCGAGATCATGACTTGAGTTGAAATCAAGAGCCAGATGTTCAACCAACTGAGCCACCCAGATGCCCTGACTTCCCTTATTAAAATTTATGAGCCTTTGAACATTTTTTTTGCAGTTAATATTTAAACTTTTACTTATGTATTTTTAAAGTTTTTGAGTAAGTGATAAGGGCTTGTGCTGAGTTGAATTGTGTCTCCCAATTAATGTCCACTTGGTATCTGTGAATGTGGTCTTATTTGAAAATAGGGTCATAACAGATGTAATCAAGTCAAGATGAAGTCATAGTGGATTAAGGTGGGCCCTAAATGTAATGACTGATGTCCTTCTAAGAAGAGAGACCTGATACACAGACATAGGACGCATTACTGATAGACTACAATATGAATAGGAGTTGGGCACTGCATAAAATGTGATTTGGGGTGCATGGCAGAAAACTCAAAAGATAGAAAAGACAATTTTTTTGTATAATGGAATCGAGTCTTACTAGTTTGTCATTTAACATCTTTTTAAGGAACCTAAACCATTTTTTAGCTGTGCTAAGCCAATATTTTGCAGTACTCATCTTACCTTAAAGATAGTCTCCTGAGACAAACCATAAGAGACTCTTAATCATAGGAAACAAACTGGGTTGTTGGAGGGGAGGTTGGTGGGGGGGATGGGGTAACTGGGAGATGGGCATTAAGGAGGACATTTGATGTAATAAGCACTGGGTGTTATATGCAATTGATAAATCACTAAATTCTACCTCTGAAAGTAATAATACACCATATGTTAATTAAATTGAATTTAAGTAAAAATTAAAAAAAAGATGTTCTGAAATTTCTTGTTATGTATTCTATCTCAAGAATTAAAAAAAATAAGTACATGCTTTCTTCGTTTATAAGAATGTATAGTTTTAAAATAATCTTGGGGTGCCTGGCTGGCTCTGTTGGTGGAGCATGGAGCTCTTGATCTCGAGGTTGGTTGTGAGTTCGAGCCCCATGTTGGGTATAGAGATTACTTAAAAATAAAATCTTTAAAAAAATAAAGGGGCACCTGGGTGGCTCAGTCAGTTAAGTGTCTGCCTTCAGCTCCGGTCATGATCCCTGGGCCCTGCATCGGGCTTCCTGCTCAGTGGGCAGTCTCTTTCTCCCTCTCCCTCTGCCTCTCCCCCGGCTTGTGCTCCCTCTCTTGCTCACTCTCTGTCAAATAAATAAATAAAACCTTAAAAAAATAAAAATATTCTTAGAGTGTCATTATCCTAATATAAGTTAACTTATTTTCTGCATTTTTAGAAAATAGCCTCTGACCTTTAATATGTAATTTAATCAACATCTGCCATTTCCAACAGATATGCCAAGAATTTGATATATGTTTGAAATCTGATGTAGCTTTCACTTCTCAGATACAGGAAGGTAAGATACAGCAAACCAAGATCCCAAATTAGAAGTTATTTGTAATTTTCTGAGGTGTCTTTATAAATTAGTTTACCTCAGAGCTCCTTTCTAACATGAAACCCATGTTAACTAACATAACATGAATTAATGTGGTGTTCATGTGTTTTTAAATGCATGAATTAGGGGAGAGTATTGCAGAAATTAAGTAGAAATGAAGGTTTCTTTGTGGCGAGCTCAAGAAGTAGAAAGCTAGGGTGTTGGATGGAAAATCATCTCTGACACTGGCAGGCAGGGCCAGTTTCATGGGGGTGTGACCTGGTGCACACCAAAAACATGATCCATAAAAGAGGAAATTGAAAATTGGACTTTATTCAAAGTAGAAGCTTCTGCTCTTCAAAAGATTATTATTATTTTTTAGATTTTATTTACTTTTCAACAGAGAGAGAGGGAACGCAAGCAGGGGGAGTGGGAGAGGGAGAGGGAGAAGCAGGCTTCCCGCTGAGCAGGGAGCCCGATGTGGGACTCGATCCCAGGACCCTGGGATCATGACCTGAGCTGAAGGCAGACGCTTAACGACTGAGCCACCCAGGCGCCCTCTTCAAAAGATTATTAAGAAAAAGTAAAGCTATATACTGGGAGAACATATTTGCAGATCAAATCTATCTGATAAAAGACTTATCCATAATATATAAAGATGACTAAAATAGTTTAAAAAACAATAAAAACGGATGAAATATCTGAACAGATACTTCACCAAAGAAAATACAAGCATATAACAGGATTCCCAACATCATTAGTCATGAGACACTATTACTAACCTGTTAGAGTGCCTAAAATTAAAAAGACTAACCAGACCAGGTGTTGGAAGGGGATGGAGAGGAACTGGAGGTCTCAAAACTGCTGGTGGGAATGTTAAACTGTATATACCTATGCTGGAAAACAGCATGGCAATTTCTTAAAAAGTTAAATATACACCTCTCTACTATATGCTGCAGCCATTCTACTCCTAGGAAAGTATTCAATGGAAATGGAAGCGTGTGTTCACAGGCTTGTAGGGGAGTCTTTTTGGTATACTTTACTGTTCATAACAGCATTATTTCTCTAAGTCCCAAACTAGAAACAACCAAAATGCCCACCAAAGGTGAATGGATACACCAGTTGTGTTATAATTATACTAAGCAATAAAAAAGTGAAGGACTGATACATGCAACCAACCAAGGGAATGAATCTCAGAATAATTGTGCTGCATGAAATAAGCCAGACCAAGACGGTACATACTGTATGGTATGATTCCATTTACATAAAATTCTAGAAAATGCAAATTTATCTATGGTGACAGAAAGCAGACAGAAAGCAGACCCAGAGGAGACAATATGGGAGCAATTAGAAAGAGGCACAGAGAAATTTTGGGTATGATGGATATGTTAATCATTTTGCTTGTAGTAATGGTTACACAGGTGTACACATGTCAAACCTCATCAATTTGTATATTTTAAATACGTCATTTATGTCAAATATACCTCCATGAAAGTGTTTAAAAGGTGAGTGTATCATGATTCATGTTATACATACAACCATAACCCTTCAGAATTTAGTCCTGAGTTAACTTTTTCTCAACAAAAATCAATCCGTAGTCATAGCACAATCTAAATACGCATAGATTAAACAACGTCGACTTCAGTTTTCCTTTATTCCAGTAGGGAACAGCAGTGTGAGTGTGCCTGTTTCAGGTCTCCAAGGACGCCCCGCACGAGGACGGAGAGTGCTTTAACTTCACTCTCCGGAGGCTGACCCTCATCTAAGCACTGGTCGGAGTGCCAGTCTCCACCCGCTGCTAAAAGACGGTAAACGCAAGCAATTTCCGCGGGCGTGTGAAGGACCACCCGAGGCAAGAATCCTGCCAGCTCCGAGCCCGAGATTCGATATCTGCCAGGGAAGTCCGCCCACAGGGAGAGTAAAGAGCGCAACAAGTGCCTGGGGCTGGGAAAGCCCTGGGAATTGGGGGAGGCGGGGGGAAGAAGAAAGAAACAAAAATAGACAAGGGCTCCGGCCGCAAGTCCCACGTCGGCCCGGGTCACGTGCCCACACTGCCCGGCTTTCTGGTCCGGCGGGGCCCCTAGGCCCTGTGCTTTCGGTTCCGCCGGCTGGCTGTCCGATGCCACCCCGGCGCGCACTTCCGCTCGCCCTCTGACCCGCGGCCGACAGCCGGTGCATTCTGCGGTAAAGTCTCTCGGGGCGCGCCTTTAGGGCCGGTGGGGAGTGCGCTGTGCAGTTTCTCTCCTGCTAGTTTGAAGAGGCGCGGGGAAGCCACTGGGTGTCGGCCTTCCGGTTGCTGCGCAGGAGCGGCCTTTAAGTTGCGCAGGCCCAGCACCCGCACTAAGAGCCCAGTGGAGGCTGAAAGCTGCTCGCGGGCGTGGGAGGGGCGTCGGGCCCCTCGGCGCCCTCGCGTCGCAATGAGCCCACGCGGCGCGGGGTGGGAGACAACCCGGGGTCCTCACCCCGCCCCACCGCTGCTGTGTGGCCTGTACCCCCGCACGCTTTCGTCCTGATCTGGGAGCCATCTAACACTGCCCGCCTTTCCTCCCCGTGCAGACCCCCAACCATGCCCGCGGGCGTGTCCTGGGCCACGTATCTGAAAATGTTCGCTGCCAGCCTCCTGACCATGTGCGCCGGGGCCGAAGCGGTGCACAGGTACTACCGGCCGGACCTGGTGAGTGCAGGAGGGTCCATCGTTCCTGGCCCCTGGGCCATTCCGTTCTCCTCCCAGCAGCGGAAACATCTTAAAATTAGAAGCACATCTGCCCTGAGCCTAAAGCCTGATGATGGCATTCCGTTGCGTTCAGAGCAATGCATGGCCTGTTCTTACACGGGTCTTACACAGCCAGTCACCTGCCTGCCACTGGCCTTGATCTTCTAACATTTATCTCTCGTTCTCACTCTTGCAGCCAGTACCGGTTTCCTTGCTGTTTCTCACACTCATCAAGCCCGTCTCCACCTTCAAGGCCATGCTTTTTCTCATCTTGGAGTGCTTTTCTCCCAGATCTTGGGTTGGTTTCCTACTTCAAAATGTCAAGTCTCTGCTCAAATATCTCCTCCAGCAGTGAGGATCCTTGGGGCAGCTCCTAAAGGATCCCTCCTTGTGCTGTTCTGTCTCAGTCCTTTGTTTCCTGGGAGGACTTGTCACAACTTGCAAGTATTTTATTCCTTTTGCCTATTTACTTGTTCTTTGTTTCCTTCACCAGAATGTAATCTCTGGTTGGTGTATACTTGCAGACTTTTACTGTTGTTGAGATACACACACACAGCGGACAGGGTGTTTTTCCCCACGGAAATAGGGAGTTCATATACACATATCTCTGTAACTTGTTTGTTTTGGTTAACATCTGTATAAATAGACACATGTTTATATCAACAGCCTTTTTTCTTTCTGACCATTGAATAACATTTTATAATATGGATATTCCATATATTATTTAATCTCATATTGACATTTTGGTGGTATCTAGTTTTTATACAAACAGTGCTGAAGTAGCTCTTTCTTACCAGCCGGGACTGCTTCTCTTTTGAGTTCTAGGGATGTATCAGGGATGCTTGGAGACAGAAAGGTAAGAACCTTCCACAGAAATGCAGTTGAGTCACTAGCTCCTGAGGAATAGACATCAAGCAGGCATCACAAAGGAAGGAATGCCTGTGATTTGCCCCTGGGAAATTGACCTTTGATTCACCCATCTCATTATAAGTAGCAACATACTTGGTTGTTACCACCAGCTGCCTCGACCTTGGGAAGAGGCAGCATGAAGCCAGAATCTCTAGAAGGACCTTACTAAAGTGTCTCAGGCCACTTCGTCCTGATTGGGCAGTGACATCAGCAATGGGGTACCTCTGTAGGGCCCTGAAGGCCAGGGCTGGCTGGCTGTGTGTACGATGCTGGATGCTTTACTAACATTTAAGGAATTTATGTTCTTTTCCTGCATCTCGTGGTATTCTAGCAATGACTATCACTGTTGTAACAACCGCTGGCCTTTGTTGGAGTCTTTCAGTCTTTACAGCTAGAAGGTCTGGGTGGAGTCCAGAGCAGAGGAGACCGCTCCTGGAGTGTGTGCTCAGTGCTGTCTTAAGGAAGCAGTATTAAGGATGCTTTTTCTAGTTGTCCAGCTCAGCTACTCAGGATAGGAATGGAGGCAAGGACTCAAGGCAGATGTTCTGTCCTGGAATACAAAGTGTGCTTTTGCTTGAGCTTCCCTTTGCATTTCCATTTGCTTTTGCGTTACTTTTACTGGTTCTATTTTCCTTAATTTATAATCTACTTATTATTGAAGGCATAGTAAAAAAAATGCAGTCTCAGCGATGTAGGAAAGACGTTAGGGTTTGAAGCGACGGCCAAGAAAGAATTCTTGAGATGCCTTTGGTGCAAAAAGGTGGTTTTATTAAAGCATGGACATGGGACCCGTGGGCAGGAAGAGCGGCACTGGAGTCATGAGGAGTGGTCCATTATGTACTTTCAAGTTGGGACGGGGTTAGGGATAGCGTAAGCCTCCCAGGTATTTCGGAAACCAGGTTTCCAGGATCCTGACAAGGCTAGCTATTGTCAGGGAAAGGTCATTTATTACTTAGTAAAAACTCAGTCCTGAGACTCCTCAGATAAATATCGGTGGGTCATACGCTTGGGGGATGATTGCTAACATGTATCTTGGCAGGGGTGGAGGGTGGAGATAAAGGAAGTTTCCAAAGGAATTTTTGTATGTTAAAGTAGACTTACAGGATCCTGGGGGTTGGGCTAAGATTGCCTTTTGCCCTTAGCAAGGTAGTAACATCGAGGCAGCTGAGTCCCTAGAGGAGTGTCACTGCCTGTTTCAAGGACTTGTCAGTAGGCTATAGGTAGTAAGGAAATTTAATTTTTCTTTTGCCTTTGTTTCCCACATCATTAGGATTCATTTTATTTTATTTAAAGATTTTATTTATTTATTTGTCAGAGAGAGAAAGAGCACAAGCAGGGGGTTGGGCAGGCAGAGGGGGAAGCCAGCTCCCCACTGAGCAGGGAGCCTGACGCGGGACTCGATCCCAGGACCCCAGGATCATGACCTGAGCCAAAAGCAGACGCTTCACCGACTGAGCCACCCAGGTGTCCCAGGACTCATTTTAAAGTGTTCATTTTTGGTTGTCTCCAGACATACCTACATACACAGAAATTGCTTTTTAGAACCTCTGCTGACATTGTTAACTTTTGATGTCAGAAAACTTATTAGTCTTTTAAAAATTGATTATATATGTAGTATATTTAGTAAAAGTGCTATTTTTCTGAAGCCGGAGAGCGAGGTTCTTGTCTCACAGAGTCGAAGAATGAATCTCGCGGACAAAGGAAAGTGAGGAAAGCAATAGAGTTTTTATTAAGCAAGAGTATGGGAAAAAAAAGCTCTCAGGAGTGAGAGGGGTCCGGATATGGTTGCCACTGAGGGCTTTTAGGGTTGATTGAAGGCTAACCAGGGAACTTAAATGTTTTTGACTTCTCTACAGGCAACACCATTGGCTAAGGACTAGTGGTAACATCGTTAATGGTTTACTTCTTTTTAGGGTCTCGTTATTTTCTGTTGACCACAGGAGACTGTCATAAATAAGACTCCCCCCTCAGACACCTAGGGCAGGGTGGTCTGGGGTGTTCCCTTATCTCTGGTTTCCTGACACCCCCACATTTTTGGCATTTCTGTGAGCCTGATCACATAGCCCCCCATCTATCTCTCGCTACCTATCCCCGCCTGTTCCTTACTCATTTTTTAAAATAAAAGTTGAATTGTCAGGGCGCCTGGGTGGCTCAGTTGGTTAAGCGTCTGCCTTCGGCTCAGGTCATGATCCTGGGGTCCTGGGATCGAGCCCCGCATTGGACTTTCTGCTCGGTGGGGAGTCTGCTTCTTCTGCTCTCTCTCCCTTTGTGTGCTCGCGTGTATTGGCGATTCAGGTGACTCCAAATATTTGCCTGTGTGTGTGTAAGTGGGTGGTTGTGTATATATATATACTTTATAGAAATTTGAAACATGCTATTCTTGTATTTTTTAAATTATTTTTTAAAGTTTTAATTTTAATTCCGGTTAACACACCGTGTTATATTAGTTTCAGGTGTACGGTATAGTATATTGTATTTTATAGGGCTTTGTGACTTCATTATAATTTCCTTTTGTGACACTGGGGGAAAAGATCCCTTCTAAGATTAATTAGTTTCCACAGTTTAATGATCGTGAAACAAGCTACATTCGTTCTTACGCTAAAGGGGTTGGAATGTCAAAATCCTAGGACTAGTTTTAAGGTAGGAAATTGTCAGACAAGTTACTCTGGCTTTTATTCCAGTTCCCATCACTGATTTTTTTAGAAAGTCATTTTCACTTCAAAATGAGAATTGTGCTGTGAAGCATATCTCTTAGCTCCCTACCTCTCCTGTGACCCCGACCCCAAACCCCACATTCTTTCCTAAACTGTTTTATTTCTTTAGAATTAATTAGTTGTTAGATGAAAGAGTAAAATGAACCAGATCAAGGTGTTTGAACTTCAGGCATTGAAAAGCTATAGAAGTTTTCTGATGTGAGTGAAATTATGCCGGAATAATCTTGCAGTTTTGTTGTTGTTGTTGTTAAAGATTTTTTTATTTATTTGAGAGAGAGAGCAAGAGAGCACAAGCGGGAGGGGAGTGGCAGGGAGAGGGAGAAGCAGGCTCCCCACTGAGCAGGGAGCCCGATGTGGGGCTCGATTCCAGGACCCTGGGGATCATCACCCAAGCTGAAGGCAGACTCTTAACTGGCTGAGCCACTCAGGCTCAGCTCAAATATTTGCCCCTAATCTTGCATTTTTATATAAAATAATCTGAGTAAAGATTTTATTTCAACAGTCTTATGAGCTTATAAGGGTCCTGAGCAAAGTCTGTTGATTTATTCATTCAGCACAGTTTTTTGCCTGCCTTTTTATAATGAGGGTCACTCCATAGGGTTGTAAGAAATAAGGAGGGGATTACGATGTGGTCCCTTTCCTCAGGACCTCAGTGTAAGCTGATAGCTGATCTAGATCTATATCTAGAAATAGATATGCCTCTGGGGACACTTGGGTGGCTCAGTCAATTAAGTGGCTGCCTTTGGCTCAGGTCATGATCCCAGGGTCCTGGGATCGAGCCCCATTGGGCTTCTTGCTCAGCGGGGAGCCTGCTTCTCCCTCTGCCTGCTGCTCTCCCTGCTTGTGCTCTCTCTCTCGCTCTGACAAATAAAATCTTAAAAAAACAAGAAATAGATATGCCTCTGAATCATGAACAGTTCCACTTGGATGTGCAGTGAGCATGTTCAAGACTGAGCCCCTGGTCTTCCTCCAACAGACCTACACGTCTTGAAGCCTTGCCTGTCACAGTGGATGGTGACTCCATCATTCTTGTTGTTCAGGCCAAAGCCTAGGAGTCCCGTTTAACTCCTCTCTCATACTACACATAATGGCAAATCCCACTGGCTTGATCTGAAAACTACATTCTGAATCTCACTGCTTTTCACCACATCCATTGCTACTACCCAGTTCAAGCCACTGTCAGGTACGTCTCACCTCAGTTTCTGTGATGGCTCCCTGACCTGTTTCTGCCTTCCAGCCTTGCTCCCCTGCAGTCTCTTCTCGACAAAGCCTCTTTTTATGCTTGAGTCAGGTCATGTTGTTCTTCTGCTGAATCCCTTTGCAGGGATTGTGCATCTCTGCACCCCCGTTTTCCCTCTGTCCTCGTCTCTTCGTAACCTCTTGTTGAATACCTTATCGCAGCTGTGCTGACCACCTTGCTTTTCCTTGGACATAAGGGCACATTTCTGCCTTAGGTCCTCTGCATTTGTGGTTCCTTCTGCCTGAAACACTCCTAGATATCTGCATGGCTGGTTTTCTCATCCTCCTTCATGTCTTTGTTCAGACGTCACCTTTTCAGACAATAAACACGTAAGAAAATGCTCAGCATCACTAGCCATCAGAGAAATGCAAATCAAAACCACAGTAAGATACCATTTTATCACCACTATAATGGCTATAATTAAAAACCCAAACAGCTCATGACAAGTGTCTGAGGATGTAGAGAAATTGGAACCCTCATACAATGCTGCTAGGAATGTAAAATGGTGCAGCTGCCATGGAAAACAGTCTGGCCGTTCCTCAAACCTTTCAACATAGAGTCATAGGACTGAACGATTCCACATCTTGGTTTATACCCAAGAGAAATGAAAACGTAGGTCCACACATTCTTCTTGTACACGGTTCATTTAAATGGAATCTACATGTGGTCTTTTGTGACTAGTTTCTTTCACTTTGCATGTTTTCAGGGTTTGCCCCATATTGTCAAATGTATCTGTACTTCATTTCCTTTTAGGACAGAATAATATTCCATCGCAAGAATAGCAGGGCTCGATCCCCCAGTCCCCGGGATCATGACCTGAGCCGAAGGCAGATGCTTAACTGACTGAGCCACCCAGGCGCCCCAGGCACTTACTGTTTTTGAACAGTAATGAACTTATTTGAAATCAATTCAAAACGAATTGATTCCTGATACTTGTTTTCTGTGCTAGGCACATGGTAGAGACTCAGTAAATAGTGCAGGAATGAATTTCAAATTGTGGAAAGCTTCATTAAGATTTGTGATCTGTCAATTAATATTGATATAAACTCTCCCTCTGTGAGTTCTGTAATACTAGAGACACGCCTGGATAATAGAGTCATGTAAGTATAGGGTTCGAAAGGAACTGGGATGGGCCACAGGCTCTCATAATAAGGTTTTATCATTGAGTACACAGGCACTTTTTGTTCTTTTTTTTTTAACTTTTTACTTTCATTCAGGTCATACCGAATTACAGTCTAAGAAAGCACTGGCATCTGTTTGTTTTGTTTTTTTGATAGACAATACCTGAAATTCCACCAAAGCCTGGAGAACTCAAAACGGAGCTTTTGGGACTGAAAGAGAGACAACATGAACCTCAAATTTCTCAACAATAGAAACCTCAGAATACTTAACTCTGCCAAGAACTCCGTGAATAATATTATAAGTATTAAATATATATTTTTAAAGTTTATTGAGTCAAACTGGTTGTCTTTAAGCATGTAATGCAATGCTAACTGCAAGAGGTGCCCAGGTGTTAACTGACGCATTGAGATTTAATTATGGATTGACCAGTGTTTCTTGAAAACTGCCAACGTTTATATCATCAGCTTATTGAATGTATTTGAATAGATACTTAGTCTTGGATATCATGTGATAAAGAATAGTGTTTCCTGCCCTTATAATTCTGGTTTATTTCTCTGAATAAGCTTGACTATCATGACAAATAGGAATTATAAATTAACTATGATAAAATTGTCACTGACAATGAAAGCTTATGGTGTGTAGTTAATAGTTCTCTAAAATTGCAAAGTGTTATTTGTACTAAACTGTGAATTAAGTTGAAATATTTGAAGTTTGAAGTTCTTTTGGAATTGTGTACTTAACAAAATTATAGCAGATGTCACCTGGACTGTCACAAGTTCTTTATCCCCAAATTTGAGAAACCATATTACCATGTAGTTATTCTTCCTTTTTTTTTTTTAAGATTTTATTTATTTACTCCCTGGAGAGAGAGACAGGTAGTGACAGAGACAGCGAGAGAGAGCACAAACAGGGAGGAGAGGGAGAAGCAGGTCCCCGCTGAGCAGGGAGCCCGACGCGGGGCTCGATCCCAGGACCCTGGGATCATGACCTCAGCTGAAGGCAGATGCTTAACGACTGAGCCACCCAGGCACCCCTCATGTAGTTTTTCTATATTTTAAAATAATTGAAAAGCTTAAATGAGCTTTCTTATGGGGCGAATTGTGTCATCTCCCCAAAGATGTTGAAGTCCTAACTCCCAGTACCTGTTAATGTGATCTTATTTGGAAGTAGAGTCCTGTAAATGTAACAAAGTTAAGATGGGGTCATTAGGGTGGGTCCCTAATCCAGTTCATATGACTGATGTCTTTATAAGAGGAAAATGCCATGTAAAGACAAACACACAGGGTAGAGTGCTATGTGACAACACATCAAAAACTGGAGTGATGTAAGCCAGGGATGCCAGGGATGGAGAGCCACCACCAGAAGCCAGAAAGAGGCACGGAGGGAATTCTAGCCAGAGACTCAAAGGATGGTCCTGCTGACACCTGGATTTTAGATTTCTGCCCTCCAGAACTCTTGAGAGAATACATTTCTGTTGTTTGAGGCCATCCAGTTAGTGGTACTTTGTTATGGCAGCCCTAGGAAACTAATACAAATATTTCAACTCTTCCTCTGAGTCTATAAATAAAGGACAAAAGTAATTTATAGAGCAGTTGGCTTTCTATTTAGGGCAATTTTTCCAAAAGAAGTTTTTCAGAATTCTGCATTCTTAAGGATAATATCTAGGCTTGCTTCTTAGCCAGTTAGCAAATTGCTACATCACATAAATCTTTGGGGTCATTGTTGAAATCTTAAATCCTGAAGTGCAAACAAAATGTTTTTGTTTTACTTTCCATAGTAAGTACCCTTTTCACTTTAATGGTATAAAGCAACTAACTGAAATGGTTTATTTCCAGTCTATATACAAGCTCTTTTCTGCTGCCATATTATTTGGTACCTTATCAAATTCTTCTACACGTGAAGAGGATTTGTATTTCTGTGATGATGGATGAGCAGTGGCCCACTCCAGGGAAAGGTCTGGAGAACAGAGTTTTTGAGTTGAGACTGGTTGTTTTCTGATATTTACAGTGACCTTGTGCATGAGACTTACTTTCTCTGGATCAAATTTCATAACTGCCATTAATTGAATACTTTTTCTTCTTTCTTAAAGATTATTTGAGAGAGGAAGAGAGTGAGCACAAGCACAGTGGGGAGGGGCAGAGGGAGAGGGAGAGAGAGTCCCAAGCAGACTCTGTGCTGGGCATGTAGCCTGACACGGGGTCCAATCCCAGGACCCTGAGATCACAAGCTGAGTTGAAACCAAGAGTTGTCACTTAACTGACTGAGCCACCCAGGGGCCCCTGAATACTTTAAAAAAAATTTTTTTTTTTAAGGATTTTTATTTATTTATTTGAGAGAGAGAAACAGCATGAGAGGGGAGAGGGTCAGAGGGAGAAGCAGGCTCCCCCCTGAGCCGGGAGCCCGATGTGGGACTTGATCCCAGGATTCCGGATCATGACCTGAGCCGAAGGCAGTCGCTTAACCAACTGAGCCACTCGGGCGCCCCTGAATACTTTTTTTTCTTAAAAAATTCTATACTTTACAAATGGTGAATCTTGCCACAGCCAATTGGAAGGGTTTTTATATCAGACTGGAAGAAATTTGACAATTTTTTTTTTTTTTAGTTGAAGGAATTAAATGGTTTCCAAAACTCAAACTCAGTAATTCTAACTTTGGTGCCTCGCTCCTTCAAATAATATATATTCCCAAAGGTTTCAGGAAGGATACCTGATCTCGTACAAATCAATAATAAAATTGTTTTTTTAACTCTGGGCTAGTTTCATCAATTGAATTTACTAGGTGCAGTTTTTTTTTTTCCTCGGCTAAACGAACATTTACAAATTCTACTTCTACACTAATTGTATATGAACACAAAACTGGTGAACTTTGATAATGCATTTTGTAGCTATCAGTGAGGAGACCCCCTCCCATCACTTTCCAGAATAAAGGGCTGGGGGCATTGCTCACCCTTCGGAGGAAGAAAGGATCTCTCTCTCGGCCCCTTGGGGCCAGTTTGTGCACAGTGGGAGGTCCCTCATGCCCTGGGTGAATGCAGTGGACCATACTTTAAAGGCACTCCCCCTCCCCACCCCATACCTTTCATTTACTAGTACAGAGTGACTGGTCTGGCTGTTGAGAGAAAAACTGATGATTTGAATCAACCTCTCCTACAAGACAATGGCTTTATGAAGGCAGAAAGCTGATTTTCTAGCTATTAAAAATGTACTGAAAAAGTGCCATCATTTCAGTAAGTGCTGATTCTAATGATTCTAAGTGACTTTTACCAGGGTATCCTTTTTTGACGTTGAACCTTATTTGAAAAATATGCATTGTGGTGGCCATGGAAATGCATTAATAGATTCCCTGAGGAAAGGCACTGGATGCTTCTCACTGAGCAGCCTTCAGTTGTCTTGCTTCTGCAGGGATTTTATCAGCAAGAGAGTGGCCTTGCTCAAAGCCACACCTCCTGCCATTCAGCACAGTTCTTGAGAGGCCTGTTTTAGCTCAGTTCCCTCTGAGTTGACTGAGGCTCTTTGAACCTGCATTGCTTCTCACCTCCCTCTACTCCATCCCATTTCCTTCCTTCCTTCCACAGGTGCTGGTCTAAGGGCATTCCTTAAAAACATCCTGTATACTAAACTCCATTTTAGTGCTTCTTGGAGAACCAAATCTGTGACTGACAAACCAAAAATTAAAAGTAGTTATAGATTATTCTTTAATAAAGCTGTGGGGAAAAAACCCAAGATAGACCAGTTGCAAGGTGTTTGGTCATTAAATTAGGTCAAACAGTGGTTGGGCAGGATGTATATGACATAGCTGTTTTTACCCAAAACTGAGGGGGTAGGATGCTCTTTAAGCTTCCTGCTGGAAACAGTCTCAGAATTTGAATGCTGAGGAGCAAGTTTCAGATGCTATTAATTTAATGTAATCTGATGGCTTTAATTTCTATACAACAGTCTTTATTAAAAATGGTAATTTATGGTGGCCAAAAAATTGGAAACAAGTATGACTAATAGCTAATAGTGTTGTATCATGAAGCTATGTCTTAACTACAGCATGTTTCCCTATGACTGAGCTCCCATTTTCTTTCTTATAAAAAGAAACAGATTTTTAAAATCAAGTAATCAGACTTCAGAGTGATTATTGCAGCCTAACCCTAGAAAAATAGCTTGGGGGCAGGAGTAGGATACATACAACAAACAAAAGAAGCCCAGAAAAGGGTCCTAAACTACCTGGAACATCTAGTCCCTAACAGAACTTTATAGCACATAAAGTTGGTTTCCATCGTTTTCTCACACACACGATCTCTGAATATACAGCTGAGGTTTTCTCTCCCTACCCAGTTAAAAAATAGACTACCATTTCAGATGGCTATCAATTAGCGAAATTAGAGAAAACTGTTTCTTCCATAAATAATACATTTCAAGAGAAATTAAATGATTGCTTGATGAGGATCATCACTCAGTATCTAGTTATCTGTTGTAGGATTATGGGTATTTTGAACAGCCTTATTTTGGAGTAACTCTAGATTTACAGGAAAACTGCAAAGTGAGTACAGAGCCCCCATGTCCCCTTCCTGTTTCCATGAATGCTGGTCCACAGGTCAAAGCCGAAGAACCAGGGACTATACTCCAGACTAAATTTTGCTAGTTTAATCCAGGCAATGAAGGCACTTAGTTGCCATGTCTCCTTCAGTCTATTTCTGTCCTTGGTTTTGACCTTGAAACTTCAGAAGAATGCTGTTCATATAGTATGGGTTTGTCTGATGGTAGAGATGGCAGTACCCTTCTTACCACATCCTATCAGGGATACATGACATCACTGGGGAGATTAACCAGGCGACTGTGTTCAGGTAGTGCCGGCCAGGTTTCTCTGCTACAAAGTTACTATTTTCCCTTTTCCACAGTCCAGAGGACAGCTACTAAGTGTAGCCCACTTTCAAAAAGGAAAGGAGAATGAAGCCCCACCTCCTGGAAAGGGGAGTATCTGCATGTATTATTTGGAATTCTTCTGTAAGGAACATTGTCTTTAATATAGGTGACTTTTTAAAAATACTGGATCTAAAAAAGACTTCTGTGGTATGTACGAATTCCTTTTATAAGGGGAAAAACCCCAAAACACCGGATTAAAAAAAAAAAAAATCAGCCAAGTTTGTACAGTCTTTATGAAGACAAGCAAGACGCTGAGTATTTGGGATCTTTTTTATTTTTTATACACATGACAAGATTTTACACCAAGAATAGTCAGTTAAATAGTACAAATTTACATTCATGAGGAATGTTAAAAAAAATTCAACTAAAAAACCCACTTCTTTCTGTGACCCACAATCCCAACATTTTACAGTGCAGG